GTCTCGAACCCGCGGGCTCAGGCAATCCACTCACCTCAGCCTCCCAAAGCGCGGGATTACAGGCCGAGCCACCAAGCCCGGCAAGACCTCATTTCTACAATAATTCAAAAACTTAGCCGGGTATGGTGATGCATGCCTGTAGTTCGCTACTTGGAGGGCTAAGACGGAAGGATTGCCTGAGCCCAGCAGGTCAAGGCTGCAGTGGCAGTGAACTGCATGTCACTGCACTCCAGCCTGGGTGACAGAGTAAGACTCTGACTCAAACAAAAAAGAAATACAAATAATTATAATGTTTTCTCTTACCCACTCCAGAAGGGAATCATTTTCAAAGAAGTTGCTTGAGTCTTCCCATGGAAACATCCACTCTTCCTTATTCACACTTGTACTTTTTCTTCCCCCGATCCTGACCTAGGAAGTTGGAGATGGAATGGGGGGAGAAGGCTGACTGCCAAGTCCTCCACTAGACAGAGGTGTACACATAAGTGTGGGGTCCAGGGTAGGGATGGTCCTTTTGCTTGCCATACAAACACCCTTCCCCCCTTCCCCAAAAGCATCCCACTTAGGGAATGGTAGCCCTAGGCAACTTTCTCTGAGTCTTATTTGCCACCTGGACATTTTCTGTCTTGAGGACCCTGTGCCACAGTGTCCTTCTTACAGAAGCAGTCCTTGTGAACTTAAGGGTGGGAAAAGCTCAACAGCATACATATAGCTACCTAGTCCCACAGGGAACTGAAAGTTGGCAGTCTTGCTAGAACCTGAACCAAACAGGGACTCTGCATCCCTGATGTGTGCTTTCTGTTCCAGAGTTCTGAAGATATCCGGTGCAAGTGCATCTGTCCACCTTACAGAAACATCAGTGGCCACATTTACAATCAGAATGTGTCACAGAAGGACTGGTAAGGCTTACACACAGGCTGGCCCTTGATGCTACACCCTGTTGAAGTGATGGGTGTTTACTAGATTTCTTGAACCCCAAAGGATAAGCATGCTCTTTCATTCCTATGCGAGCTTTACAAAGAAATATTTTGTCCATGGTCACAGAACCAATTTATAGTCATTGTCAACCATCTTTGGAAACAGGACCCGGTGTCTTGAATTTCACTTGAAGGGCTCCTGGTTAGAGGTGGATTTTGTCATTTTACTTTGGATTTTGGTCTGTAGTGAAGTGTACAAAATGGTAGTGGAGAAGTTGGGAGAGGTAGGTATGATGGCCAAATACTGTGGAATGTGCAATACTTTTGAAAAACTGTTACGTGGGTTACTCCGTGCCAGTCTCATAGCAGTATTGTAAGGTAGATGGGATGTGTATTGTTCCTATTTTATACCTGCAGATACTGAGGCCCAAAGAAAGCATTTAAATTATACTTCTGGAGTCTTAAATTCATTTCTTACCGTTAAAAGAGAAGAATAATTCATTCAGAGAAAGGAGACCAGATTGGTGAAGGGAAGTTTCAATATGTTGCCCTGAATGGTTTAAGGAGACAGAGAAAGCCCGACGAGGAGGGACCTGGGGACACACAAGACCAGGATGAGGGCTGGCATGCCATGGGATGGGCCATGTGGGAGCGGGTGCTGGTGGGATCAGTTAGGTTCACTGTGGTTTCCTGATGTTCAATTGGGACCAGTGGGTGAAGATTTAGGGAAACAGACTTAAGCATGACTTGAGAGAGCATTTCTAATCTAGGTAGTTTTAGGAACTGGGAAGCCCCATCCTTGATCTGAGCATGGATGGGGTGAGAAGGGATTAACATCGGATGGGGGTTCTGGGTCAGTGTTGCTTCTACTTGGTTGTGTGGTAGGATCATCAGGTGAACTTTGAGAAGATGCTGATTCCTAGCACTCCCTTCTCCCACCAGATTCTGATTCAGCAAATGAGAGTGGGGGTGGGGGAGCACAGTAACCTTCTCTTAAAGTTCCCTAAATACTTAGGATGCAGTTGATCCAGAGCAACATTTGAGAATTTTGAAATAATAGAATTTCCAACTCTACATTTTCTGTGATGTTCTGAGAGACAGTCTAGTTAGATATACAGACTCTAGATCCAGCCTTGTGACTTCAAATCTACATGCCACTTTTTAGTTGTGTGACAAATTTCTTAGTTTCCACTATACTTTAATTATTTATCTGCAAAATGGTGGCAGTGTTTTGAGTATTAACTAAGAGTATGTGTGTGTGTGTTGTACATGCATGTATGAGTAAATATAGCACTTAGAACAATACCTAGCATGTGGTAAGGGCTATATAAATGTTAGCTGATGTTATTATTATTATTATTATTATTATTTTATTTGGAGTCTCACTCTGTCACCCAGACTGGCATGCAGTGGCCGCTCTCAGTTAGTATACCTTATCATGCCATACTAGAGGCCACATAGATAGTCATGATCAAACTGACACCATAGCCTGAGACTAGACCTGGACTCATCCTGAAGCACTAGCCTGTTTGCCTCTGCTTCTGACTGTCCTGGTGGATTCCCAGGCTCTAAGACATGAAGGCTTGTGGGGAATCCTAGTGACACTCTGTATTTTATATATTGCTCTAATAAATAAATTGATGGACTGTCTTCGCGCCCTACACCAGATAACAAGGCTATATCTCAAGCCCCTTGGGCAGGCAGACACCAGCAATTTTAGTGGCACCTTCTCTGTCCTGAAGTTATAGTATGAACGGAGTTCTGTCTGGAAATCTCAGGCTGTAGTTTATCTCCTTCTTCCCCTTAGAAGTCAGAATTAGGGGCTACCCGATCAACAGTCTTATATCAAGAACCTCAAGACAGTTCCATTAAGTGTGGTAGGTGTAAACTGAGACTGGGAGAAAAGACTTCAGGATTCTAGGATTCTGTGACACTGACCTTATATGGTAGTCATCATATGCTTGCCTGGAGCCCCTTAAGGGTAGAGTGGGGTGGGATCTTGACAGTGACCTTAGGACCTCAGTGCTAGGGCCAGAGGAGGAGGCCAGTTTGGTTGGGTCTCCAGGACTCTGCCACATTTTCACTCTGGGATGGCATTGTTCCTCTGCCAAGAGCACTTGACCCCTCCCCCAGGATTGTGCAGAGAGTGAAGCCGGACATGCAAGCTACAATCCTCAGGTTTGGTGGCCAAGCCTTTATTCTGCCATCTAGTGTTGGGAGTTTATAACCACATGTGTATAAAGAGGCAGAAAACCCACCGATTTTGCCCCATTGGTGGGGTCTGGCAAGGCGATGTGTTATAGAGATGGTCCCAGAGCAGGAAGGCACGTAAGTTGACTGGTTCCTTGCCTTTTAAATGCATTAAAATGGAACCCTTCTACAAACAGAATCTGTTTTGGAAACAATGTCAGAATTGCTCTGACTGAGAGGGAGTGTCCCTCAGCTCCTCCCTGACCATCCTCCTCCCCGCACTGTGCTTCCTATAGTATCCAAAGGGCACAATTTGAAAGACACTGATCCAGTTCAGCCTCTAGTTAGAAGTAAGGAAACTGAGACCCAGAGAAGTTAAATAAATTACCTACATTCACAGAATAAATAGGAGAGCAGAGAACTAAATCCACCTTGTCCTTCTCTTTAGCCCTCTCCTCTTAGTGTCCTCTGACTAATCTGTGGAGTCTTGATTTCACTGACCCCCCCTCCAGAGGTAAATGGAGGCCCTTAGGAGAGCAAGAACATGTCTCACTGGTTCACAGGAGGGCCAGAGATGGCAGAAATACTTCAACTCCTTATCGCTGTTCCCGGAACTCCTTACAGCCTATTCCTCTGGGAAACAGGATCCCAAATGGAAGACCTTGGGCTGTCTCTGACACCACACCTTGGCCCTCTGGGAATCCACAGGTCCTACTGCAGCACTGGAGTGACCTTCCAGGCCCAGAACCCAGCGTGGCTCAGGAAAGGGAGGAATCTGGTCCCCAGGAGGCTTGTAGAGACTTACTGGAGAAGAGGAGGTGACATCCCTCAGAACAGGAAGGATGACTAAGTGTCATATGTGACCCTGGCCTTGTCCATCAGCTCCTCCCAGAGAAGACAGTGTGCATGATCTGAAAGCTGCCATCTTTGGGGAGCAGCTTCCAACATGTTACTCCCTGCCACTCACAGCAGGGAGTAACATGTTGGAAGCTGCTCGCCAAAGATGGAACAAGGACCATCAGAGGTTTAGGTAAACTCATGTATGTCACACATTGGATTTTTAGGGGGAACAGGGTCTTTAGAGAACATCCCATTCTTATTTCAACACATAATCTACACATCATATATCCTTGGAACTTCTGCCAGAAGCCCAGCCCCGTAGCTTAAGAGAACAGGCCTGATTGTTTCTGGGGAGCTGTACTTGACTTGCAGGACTCCTGTCAGAACTGGAAGGGCCTCGTAAAGGCCATCTGGTGTGGCCGCTGCATCTCACAGAGGAGAGGACAGGACCAGGGTCCAGACATTTAGTGGCAGAGCCAGGACAGATCCCAGGCCTCGCTGAGGCTGAGAGTTAGAAGTAAAGACATGGAGGGCGAAGATCTGGATTTGGATCCTGGCCTCACCATCACTCTGGAGATGCCACTTTGCCTCCTAAGACTATTTTTCTCTTTATAGATATGGGGCCTTTGATCTTTAGCTTACCTTACTCTTACTCTTAGAATATGTAGTTTTTTTGGCAGCCACTCATTTACTGAACCCTGCTTTGGCACGCACTGTGCTAGGCACTGGGAGTATGGAGGCATATTAGACATGCCTCCTGTCCTCAAGGAATGTAACATCTCCTGGGGGAGATAGTCCAAGTAAAGGTCGAATCCCAGTGCAGTGTGATGGGGGTGGTGGCCAAGAGGAGGTGGGCATGGGGCAGGGGGGCTGGCTATTGGGGAGAGAGCAGACCTCTGAGCTGAGTCAACTGAGAGCCTGGGGTGTGACTCATTCAGATACCAGCAGATCAGCGTTGCTGGAGGATGGGGAGTGAGGTGGGAAAGGTGTGGCAGGAGATGGAACTGGACAGGCAGGTGGGGGCTGGTGGCAGGCGGGTTGGAGTTCTGGACAGAGCAATTGAGCTAACCCTTGCCCTGGGACTCTGGAGGCAGTGACCGGGCATAAGCTGGGAGTGACATGACCAGGGTTTTTGCTTTTCTTGCTTATATTGTACACTTTAGTGTGTCTTAGTTATGGCAAGACCTCTTGGCAGCTGTGTGAAGGTACTGTGTATTGGCAGAGCCAGCCTAGAGGTGGGAGGGCAGTAGGGAGACTAGGTCACTTGCCTGGGGAAGAAATGATGAGGGCCTTAGCTAAGACACAATGGTGGGAGAAAATAAAGAAGATGATTTTGGAATTTTTAGGGAAGTAAAATCACTGACATTTGGTGGATTCCTAGGTGAGAGAAAAGGCAGTGTCAGAGGTGAGTCCCAGGGTTGAATTTGGTTGGCGAGATGGATGGTAGAGGTGTTCTCTCTGTCATTGGAAACACTGGGCCAATTTGCAAGACTGGGGAAATGGGGGCAAAGGGTATGCAGGGGTGGGTGTGGAGTTCGTGGTCCCTATGGGGTGACACTCCAGTGGTGAATCCTAGAGTCCAACTCATAAGAGGAGAGAGGTCCTGACCGGAGATCCTAACCTAAGACACATCAGCTTCTGAATGGAACTCAGGGGAGGGTGAGCCCACCCAGGGAGAGCATGGCAGGAGGACAGCTGAGGGCAGAACTCTGGGAACCTTGATGATGGTGCCAGCACTAGAGGCACGGCTTGGAGAGCTGGTTCTGTTGGGCTGGAGCACAGGCTGTGAGGCTGTGGGTTGGGAAGCTTGTCTTTTTGGAAATCCTCTGCCTTCCCCAGAAGTACTCTTCACCTTTGCCGAGCTAGCCCTTGTCTCAGCTCCCCTGGCTGCCTGTTTCCTTGGTCTTGAAGTTTGCAGCCCTTCCCGTGGCTCCACTCCCATGGACTCTCTGTTTCTGTTCCAGCAACTGCCTGCATGTGGTGGAGCCCATGCCAGTGCCCGGCCACGACGTGGAGGCCTACTGCCTGCTGTGTGAGTGCAGGTATGAGGAGCGCAGCACCACTACCATCAAGGTAATGCCAGGCTCTTGGGGAGCCATGGGAGTCCCCCTCATCCCTGGCTGTCCCCCACACAGATTTTTACTTTATTCTGAAACATTACAAGTAGCTGTGGCACTGGCTTCTGGGCTGGCCCAGTACAGACACAGGAACCCATGTGCCACAGCTTCCTGGAGCCGGCCCTCTTCTCTGTCTCTTTCCAGTGGTTCCCATGACAGTGAGAGGTGAGAACCCTAGGAGGGCTGTTTGAAACTCATTTTTCCCTCCACACTTCCCAGGTTTTTCCCTTCCTCCCGCTTCTGTTCATCTAATAAGTCTCTTTTTTGTGCCTGCTGTGTTCTGGGCACCATGCAAGATGCCATGAGTGGAATGGTAAGCCTGCTCTCCCAGAGCTTGGTCGAATTAAGCTTCCAAAGTGACGTCACGCTCCTCTAAAAAGCGTCAGAGCTGTAGACCAGGTCATACTGGGTGTTGGGTGCCAGGACTGGGGACCAGGAGGGACATCAGATGGCTCCTTTTTTTCTTTTTCCTGAATCTTGTTCTCATCGATCATTTGGATGAATTCAGGAGAGAGGTAAAAGACACAGCCACCATCATAGGGAATGAGGAAGGCCACCATGTGGTCCTTGTCTATTCCTCTGCCCCAAGCAGGACTTGAGCACATCACATGCAGATCATATAGCTCCCCTAGCAGAGATTCTTTTGCCCCTGTTCCCCCATGGCGGTCCCCTAGTCCAGGTTCTAGCTATCCTGGGCCAGGTGGCACTCACTGATTGCTAACGTGGCCCTTCCTGTTCCAGTTTGTGTTTTCTCTTTGTCCTTTAAGAGTTAGAAGTAGCACCAGAAAATAATTCTCGTGAATTTGAAGACACTGCTGATTTCTCCATCACATTTCTCCTTGGAGGCACATTTGGAAGGGACATGGGCTTCACCACTGTCCTTCCTGCGTGCACCAGGAGCCCTGTGCGGTCGCTCCTCTGTGTTTTCACTGTGCAGGTAGAAAACAGCTGTTTGTCTCTCGCCCCTCCCTGTCCGGCTGTGCAGACCGAGCTCCTTTCATCCTCCCGCCCGAGACAGCCTCTCCTGGAGCCATCTTTCCCCTTCTTTGAACTTGCTCCAGTGGGCCCCACCCCCTGGGGTTCAGATGCCTGAGACCTTAAATTCAGAACCAGATGTCACCTCTCCCTGTCTGGCAGGCAGGGAACGTCTCAGCTGGGCACCGCTTCTGACACAACTTCCTAATCCTTTCCCTTTTCCTGCAGTCCTTTACTTAGGAGTCGCATCCTCAACGGCAGCCTATTAACGACCCAGCCTCCGTTCTCCTTCCCCTTTCTGGCTATTCACCCTGTTGACAGAGGCGTGAACACTGATATCCTAACTGGGAAGGATGTTGGTTCAGTGGAACTTGGCTCTTGGCTGAGCTGGGCACCTTGAAAGGCCAGAGGTTCTTCTTTTTGTCACTCCTCTTCATAGTCAAGGTAGGACCAGAACTAGGATCAGAAGTCAGTGATGGCCAGGCATGATGAAAGTAGGAAAAGCAATTGAGATGGAGACAGCAAATCTGGGGTCAGCTTACATCTTTGCCATTTACTGGCCTTAGGATTGAGGGTGATTTAACCTCATAGTTCTCAGATGATTATTGTCCCCAGGGGGCGTTTAGAGATGAGTAGAGGTCCTTCTGTGGCCCCATTACTGAGGTGTAATTACTTGATGCCATTCTAGGGACTAGGGAAGGTGGTTGTCAAATGTTCCACCTAAAATTCCAGAGCACCCACACCGAGAAACAATGAATTAATCTCAGGGAGTCTTTTCTGTAAAAGCATGATGGCTCCAGCTTGGGAGGCACTGTTAAGAGCTGTGTCAGGCTCTTCCTCCACTGGCTTTCCCTGCCCGTGGGTGGCTGATGGGATGGCAGGTGTGGCCTCAGCGCTCAGCGCACACCTTCTTACCAGCCTGCCCCACTCCGTGTGCTGTGAATGGGCCAGCGCATTCTCTCAGGGCAGAAGTTGCCCACTTGTCCTTCCTACACTCAGCAGGAGGCAGCGAGCCCGCCAGCCCGGGTTTATCCTTCTTGGAGCTGGCTTTCCAGCCTCTCCACAGCAGGTTTTTCCTGGCTGCCTTAGATTCTGGTGGCATTCCACCCTTCATTTTGGATTCTCTTATAGCGAGGTAGGCCCTGGGAACTTCTTGGGGTGTCAGGCTCCAGACAACTTCCTTTATCATCTGTATGCTGCCTTGATGTCTGTTCTGTGCACTCCCTCAGTTTAGGACAGAACCTGTCTGTCTGTGGAGTAGCCCCTTTTCCTTTCTAGCACTTTTTCCCTCCAGCCCACATCATTGCCCAGTCTTTCCTCAGGAGATTCTGCCAGCTGAACACAGATGGCACAAGAATCTAGTTGGATTACCATCCCTGGTCCAGGGCAACAGTTCATAGGACAAGCTGGTCTCTTTTTCAGGTCATCATTGTCATCTACCTGTCCGTGGTGGGTGCCCTCTTGCTCTACATGGCCTTCCTGATGTTGGTGGACCCTCTGATTCGAAAGCCAGATGCATACACTGAACAACTGCACAATGAGGAGGAGAATGAGGTAACTGGTGCTCTGGTAACCCCACATGTGAGTTCCCAGGGCAAAACCCAGAAGAGCATCACTTGGGCCTAGGTGGGGTTGGTGTCCTCCACCCCACTTCACCCAGACTCAGCAGGGAAGCGCCTTTTCCTTCCAGATGAAGCAGGACACCTGGCCTAGGTGGCCTCAGTGCATGAGCTTGGGGGGGACTGTGTCTCCCTGTTATACTGTGTCTCTAGGCAGAATAGAAGTGAACAAGCCAGGGCCATTCATAGACACCCATAATAACCTTTGTTGCTCAGACACTGGTGACAAGCTGGTGGTGGACTTGAAGGCAGCAGGTTTATTGTTTTGTTCAGTGATTCCACAAATACGTTGGCTACTTGCTCAGTGTAGATCACTTGCTCAAGCCCAGGAGTCTTGAGGGAAAGGTAGGATTTCAAGAGCCAAAGAGGAGTAAGAGAGGTAGTGGTGCCAACTGGGGGGACAGCCCTGTGCTGTGTGGGGAATTTGAACGTTTCAGGATAGGGTAGGTGTGTAGGAATATAGTAAGTCCCCAACATACAAACAAGTTCAGTTCCAAGAGCATGTTTGTAAGTCCAGTTTAAGTCCAACAAAATTAGCCTGGGTACCTAACTAACACAATTGGCCATATAGTACTGTCTGTATTTAACAGGCTATACTGACACCTAGTGAAGAGAAATAATACATTTAAAAATGCTAGGGTGCATCATTAAAGTTTGTAACTTGAAAGTTCATATGTAGGAGACTTGCTATAGTGGCAGATAGAGCAGGCTGGCAAATTTAGGCCAGAGTATTAAATGCCACAAATGTTAAACTCTGATTTTGGCTTTATTTGATAAGGAAGACAGGTAATCACTGACGCCAGACAGCCTGCAAGGCTCACAGCTGCTTAAGTGATGCTAGGGAGCTGGTGGGCTTGGACCAGGTTCAGAGCAGTTAACAAGTGCTCTCACCCTCTTCCTATCCATGTCATACTAAATATCTTATATGGATGCTATGAGGAGGAAACCCAGGTGGGACAGGAGGGCTCAGGTGGAGAGCTTCAGAGCAGAGTTGTGATGAGCAGCGCTCCCCGGTGGTCTAGTGCTGAGTACTGACTGCACAGCCCTGTGTGCCTCTGGCTCCCCCTTTATGGACCCATGGAGCAGCCCACTGGACACAGACACAGTGGCAAGCTCAGAGTGTGACTGCCTTCAGTTTGGGCTGCCCAAAGGCATGGCAACTGAGGCAGGTGGAGCCTGAGGCTGTTTCTGCTCTGAGGCATGTGTGTGAGCTCTGTTATAGGCCCTCGCTGTTTGTTGACAGAGCGAGTGATGCCCCGGGTGAACTTGTGCATATCCAAAGGAGTATTTAGTGGACAAGCATCTCATTCAAGCCCTGGAAAAATTAGTTGAAGAAACTGAGCATTGTTTAGATTGAAGAGGGAAAAAAAAAAACTCAAGGAGGTACATGATAGCTGCCTTCAGAAGTTTGTAAGCGAGAGCTTAGCCTCACCTGGGGAAAAGGGACCCATGGCTGGGTAAGAGTGTTCTTTCAGCCTGGCGCAGTGGCTCACAATTGCAATCTCGACACTTTGGATGGCCAAGGCAAGAGGATTGCTTGAGCATAGAAGTTCGAGACCAGCCTAAGAAAAATAGACCTCAGCTCTACAAAAATTCAGTAATTAACCCTAGCATGGTGGCACATGCCTGTAGTCTCAGCTACTCAGGAGTTGGAAGGATTGCTTGAGCCCGGGATGCTGAGACTTCAGTGAGTTGGGATCGTGCCACTGTACTCCAGCCTGGGCGACAGTGAGACCCCAACTAAAAAAAAAGAAAGTCTTCTTGCAGATAGCATGGTCTAACGATGGACTGAGTGGGCTCCCTTGTGAGGTCTAGAACAAGTTTCCCACTAAAAAGAGGATCCAGGGGCTCAAGACTAAGTGCGAAACTGACCTGGAGATGGGGGGGCAGCATTAGCAGGGAGGACAAGGACAGGTCAATGAGGGAGCCCTTGCTGTTCCCACTGATCCTCTTGACCCACTGTACACATGCCCAGACTCTTCCCAGTCTGCCTTTGGCTTCCTGCTGACGTGTTTGGCCAGAGGTAGAGCAGAGGGGATGAGTGTCGCCCTGTTGGAGCTGGGACCGGGAGGTGGTGGTGCTGGCAGTTGGGTGGTCTGTATTCAAGAGGAAGCCTTGCGTGCCTACCCAGTTATTAATGTAGAGTAATAGCAGCTCTGATAGGGGAAGGGCATTGCTAATAAACACTCAGCGATGAGGGGTAAGGTGGTAATTGCAGTCCTGGCTGGGGGAGTAATTGAGAGATGCAGCCCGATGATTTCCCTGGAATGCATGGCTCTCGGGCATGGCCTTGTTGTGTCTCCTGCCGATCTAGCTGAGGAGCCAGAGAGAGGACAGCTTGCCGTCTCTGGGTCTGAACTCAGGTCCCTCTTTCTCTGGGGCTCCTCCACTTGGAGTCTGTTTGTATGAGGAGGCCTTGGGGAAGAAGGAGGGATTAGATTTGGTCAGTCGAGTGGACATTTCTTGGGTGCAGGTTTTGACTCAGCAGGGAGGATCATTTATGGAGGAGCACTATCTAGCACATGCAGCAGGGGCCTGGGAGGGCAGTAGGCTCTGACAGTAGCACGCACGTGGCAGCTAGTGAGGAGGAGTTGACAGGATGATACCCCCTCACCTCCCACTCTGAGGCTCTAAAAGATCCGGCTCAGCCTGTAATCTCACGCCTTTGGGAGGCTGAGGTGAGTGGATTGCCTGAGCCCGTGGGTTCGAGACCTCACCTTTACAATAAATAAAAAAATTAGCCGGGCGTGGTAGTGCATGCCTGTAGTTCCAGCTACTCAGAAGGCTGAAGCGGAAGGACCGCCGGAGCCCAGCAGGTCAAGGCTGCGGTGGCCAGGAGCGGCCACTACACTCCAGTCTGGGCGACAGAGTGAGACTCCAACTCAAAAAAAAAAAAAAAAAAAAAAAAATCATTAAAAAGTTGTGTTCAGTCTCTTCAGTACCCTGAACTGAGGTACAGCCAGCTCTGGCTGTTGTGGGGTGGGTGGGGCATGGTGATATCATCGGGCACCCTCGGGGTGGGTAAGGAAATGCACTCTGGTCCCATGATTTGGCATCACCTCCAGCCCCTTACCACCTGTGATTCTGTAGTCGCCTGTGGCTCAGAGCCTCTGCAGGGGTCACTGTGTATGAGATTGACACAGACCTTAACGCATGCCCTTAGGGGTTTAAGCGCCAAGATGGCCAAAGCCATCTCATTCACATGTGCAGGGAACAAAGAGATCTGCAGTAAGGTCCAGCTTTGTGAGCTGAGTGGTTGGGAGGAAGCAAGGTGCTTTGGGAGGCCCCTCATTATAGACAAGGTTGGGAAAGTTACCCTTCTCCTTGTGTTTATCTGGGAAGGAAGGCTTCCTGACAGAAGTTTTCAGAGCCAGCTCAGGCTAGATTGGAGAGTGAGCACCAAGCTGTAGGGAGGATGTACGGGCTGGACTGAGCCCAAGAAGTGGGTCTTTGCAGAGCTCAAGAGCCCTAGTCCTGGATGGTAAGGGATAATCTACTGGCCCACCCCTCTCAACGCACAGGGGAAAGGGATACAGGAGAACACAGGATTAGGGGGCAGGGAAAGGGGGTCTCAAGGCATCCAGATGAGCAGTGGCAGAGCCAGAACTGTAGCCATGTCTCTGGGTCTCACCCCAAGAGGAACAAAGTCAGAACATGGCCTGTTAAGACCCTTACAACTCGGTGCCTATGGAAGGTAAACTCTCTCTAGACTCCAGGGACTTCCAGCCCCCCAGGCTGGACCCAGTCAGAGGTGAGATCCGGGAGTCAGAGCATTTCTCAGGGTTGGGGGCCACTTGACTCCATCCCCTCAATTCCTGTGGCCAGGAGCCCTCCTGCCCTGGAGGTAGAGGACTGGAAGAAGAAGGGGAGGCATCCCCCGCAGCCTCGTCCCGAGCCTGTGGAGGGAGATGAAAGCCTGTCATATTCCCTTTGAAAGCGCTGGCAGAGCCTCAGTGGGCCCTGATTGCTGGGCGCTGCCTCCCCTGGGATTCCAGTGGCATTAGGCCTAATCCCTGGGCTCAGACGCCCTTTGAAAGGAGGAAGCAAGCCTGTTTGCTGGGGCAGAAACGGCAAACAGAGCTATTTTAGATGTGCAGGTTGGGCCCTCTTTGAAGAGAGAGACAACAGGGCCTCTCTGAGGTTTGGGACATCTCTACTCACAGCATGGCCCCCAAGCTCCGAAGAGGCCATCAGAGTGCCACCCTCCAGGGCAATAGAGTTCTGGGCCCCATTAGGGAGATAATGTGCAGGGGAGCCAAGGAAAGGTCGTGGTAGTGGTGGTGATGATGATGGGAATTGGAACAGCAGGTCCTAGGAAGAAGAGAAGACTGGCCACTGAGGTATAGTTTCCTTTCCTGTCAGAGGATGGGTGGGGTGGCTGTGTACTGAGAACCCCGGCCCTGGGGAACTGACAGTGAAACATGGAAAACATACATGCTGATGAGGGCAATTCCCCTGGGGACAGAATAGAAAGGTGTGCAATTCCATAGGCACTTCTAGAGCCTCCCTGAGCGGCAACACAGCACAGTGGTGCAGCTCATGACTTTGGAATCACAGTCCTGGGTTAGAGTCCCAGCCCTGCCACTGACTGTCCATGCTAGCCTCATGGTTTAGTTTTCTAAATCTGGAATAGACATTGTTCTTACTTCAGCAAAGCTGTTGGGATGATGCATGTGGAGGCTTCATAAGTGTCTGCTCATCCCTCAGAATGACGTATGTCAATCAAGTGTTAATACCCAAGTCGCATTATGATTGCTGGAGGCAAGGTAGGGAGGCAGCATGCACAGGGCCTGAGTAAGGAGGCCACTGCAAGTAGAGAGAGACTCGTGGACCAGTGTGGCTATAGGGCTGGGGGAAAGGAGAGAGGTGAGGCTGGGAGTGAGGGCATGACCCAGCCAGCCCAGAGGGCCTTGAATGCCATGCTCAGCAGGGTTTTATATGTAAGTTGTTGGGTCATCAGCGAAGATTTTTGAGCAGGGGACTAGCATGATTTGGTCTGTCATAGGAAGTTGACTTGCAGTGGTGTGCAGGAGTCAGAGAGAACCCCACAACAGAGATGCAGTAGGATTTGGCTAGAAGCCAAGGGATTGAGTTAAACTTGGAAAACTCAGCAAGGCTGTGTATTCCCCTTGCTAAAGGGCTTTGTACTAGGGCCATTCTTCACTGAGCAGCTGGTAAGTGACAAGTCTGTCTGGTTCTCTTCCTGTGCCTGGGATTGGGGAGGAGGAAAGAAGGGCGGCCAGAGAGGGGAGAGTCGCCTGTGGTGGGATTCGCCCTTTCCCGCCATCTCCTTGTCATCAGAGAGAGTTAGGTCCAGTGCCAACTCAGAACCAGGGCTTCTGGGTGGGCTCGAGGGTTTCATCTGGGATGACCTGGTGGGCTCAGGGATAGTTTGTCAGCTCAGACTTATCCACAGGCATTTGGGTCCTCCCAGGGCTACAGAGGAGGGCCTTCCTGAGCACCCCAGTCGCTGCTTCCTTCACAGATGCTTTGTTCTTGCTCTAACCCTAGGGAAAGGTGCCAGCCTGCCTCTTTTGTTGTCCATGTTGGCTCCCTCTTAGGAGAAACCAACCAAAGAGTCCCGGGATAGGAGATAGGCAGACATAACGGGGCGACCTTGGGCATCTTTCAGAGCGTCAGTTCCTCACTACAAGATGAAAGTGATATTACCCATTTGCCAGTGTTGTGAGCCGGGGATAATCTGTGTAAAGTGCCTAGCAGAGCGCCTGGTACACAGTGGCACTTGTCAGAGTCATGCTGGTCTGGTCCCCTAGGGACCTCCTGGGAACCTATTTCTGTCCAGGCTTTTTTTTCCTCTGATTGGGAGGCGCTCCACCCACCTCCTGTCCTAACTACCCTTCTGCCTCCCAGAGTTGCCCAGAGACCAGCTCAGGGGGAAGAGTGAGAAATGCGTGCTGTTTCTTCCGCCTTCCTTGCTGCCGAGCAGGCAAGGCTGAGGTCCCAGTCTGGGCCTTCTCTAGAACAGATGTGGAGTCTTTAATACCTTTTGTTTGTTTGTTTGTTTGTTTTGTTTGAGTTGGAGTCTCACTCTGTCGCCCAGCTTGGAGTGCAGTGGCCGCTCCCAGCCACCGCAGCCTCGACCTGCCGGGCTCCGGCGATCCTTCTGCCTCTGCCTTCCAAGTAACTGGAACTACAGGCGCGCACTACCACGCCCAGCTAGTTTTTTGATTTATTGTAGAGATGAGGTCTCGCCAAGTTGCCCGGGTGGGTCTCGAACCTGCAGGCTCAGGCAGTCCACTCACCTCAGCCTCCCAAAGCGCGGGATTATAGGCAGAGCCACCGAGCCCGGCTTCTTTAATACCTTTTAATCAGACTATTAGTGATGGAAACACGGAGCTTCTCAGCAGCAGCTTTCCCCCACTTAGGAATTGTTTGTTAAGACTTTGCATGATGGGAAAACAAATGATACTGTGGTCATGCGGTGAATTTCAGCGTGTTCCTTAAATGCTCTGCTCTTGGCTCTCCCTTCCTTGAGATGCTCCCAGAGGTGCAGAGCAGTGGAGGGAGGGCAGGGCTGAAACTGTTCACCCCTCCCAGCCTGGCACCCCTCACTTGGGCCCTGTCATGAGAACACCGGTCCCGGAAGGGGTGAGATGGGGAACAGGAGGAAGAGAAGTCACTCTAGTCCCCAGAGCAGGACGACTGAGCCATGGTGGGCCCCCAGCTCCACAAGTGGGTCTTCAGTGCCCACCTCATTGAGACAGCCACATAGAGGCAGGACGGGGTGGCGCTTGGTCTCAGCAGTGGGACATGCTTAGTCGCGTGGCTGTGCTGGGGAGAAACGGAAGGAAAGGTGGTACGTCCGGTTTCCATAGGCACTCCCCTGACAGCAAGCTGCCAGCTTTCTACCCTTTTCCCCTGCCCAGTAGGTCCCAGAGCAAGGGTGTGATGTCATTGATCACTCCTATTAATTGAGTGCTTACTATCTGTCAGACACTGCTAAAGGCTTTACATTCATCATCTCATTAAGAAGACATTGTTTCGGTCTCCATCTCATAGCTAGGGAAGTAGGTTCCATGAATAGGGTAACTTGCCCAAGGTCATATGCCCAGTAGGGGTCAGAGCCAAGCTCCAAAAGCCAGCTTTGTCTGATTCCAGAGTTTTTTTTAACCACTGTGCTAAACAGCCAAGAAAGAAGGAAACAACACGTTTCTGTAGCTCCAGCTCTGTGGCAGCCAGTATTGTAAGTGTTTCACATAAGTAATTTAACTTCATCATCCCCATCTACTAATAATCATAAACCAGTATATTTTACAGGCTATTAGTTCATAGAATGAATTTTGTGTCATGACCAGAGTTTTGAAAAAACAAAATGGAACAGTGAATATCAGAATGCAACATACTAAGTATTGTTTTGTGAAACTTCTTTTTACTGTGTGTGTGTGCATATTAGATCATTAATTCAGTAATTTCAAGTATAATTTCTACTGACCCTATAGTGAAAAAAAGTCTGAAAGGCTGGATGTATTAAATTGAAACTTGGAGCCGGGCTCGGTGGCTCAGCCTGTAATC